ACATCCATATCTACATCTTTACCATTTTCTGGGTTTGTAATTCATTTGTGTAGATTCACGTTTCTGCTTCGTATTTTTTCTGCCTGAGAAAATGTGTTAGCATGTCTGGGAATGCATTTTCTACTGAATCGAAATGTTCTTTGTCTGAAAAAATTATCATGTCTTTTTTGTGTTTATTATAGTGATAATTGTAAGTTCATCAAAAGAAATACTTCTCTCTCAGAATGGTTTGCTTTTTTTCCTAACATAAACATTTCTCATAGTTCCTATCTCTGTGCTGAAATTCCTTATTTGCTCATCTGTGATGTCTACTTTGTCGAATAGTGATACTGTTTGCATCTGTGTTCCCACCCACATCTCATGATGAGTTGTAATCCCCAATGTTGGAGGTGACACCTGGTGGGAGGTGATTGGATCATGGGGATGAAAATCTCAGGAATGGTCTAGCACGTCCCTGTGGTGCTATTCTCATAATAGTGAGTTCTCATGAAAAGTGGTTATTAAACAGTGTGTAGCACCTCCCCCATCTCTCTTCCTCGTTTTCTGGCCCTGTGAGGGGGAGGCTCCTCCCTTGCCTCTTCAATGATTGAAAGTTTCCTGGGGCCTCCCAGCCATGCTTCCTGTACAGCCTACAGAGCCATGAGCCAATTACATATATCAAAAATGTGGAACCAGCATTTGCCCTCGGTATCAGGCAGAGGCCAAAACAGTTTGCAGGGCTCAGAGGAAGACAGAAGGGTGAAGGAAAAGTTGAAACTTCCTAAATACTTGTTGGCTCATAGTGATATGGACGCTGAAGACCAGGCTGAGGAGGTCTCAGATAGAAATGAGGAACTTATCAGGAAGTGGAGTAAGGTCACCTTTGTTATGGATTAGCAAAAAACTGGTGGCATTGTGGCCCTGCCCTAGGATCTGTGGAACTATTGATTTTGAGAGTGGTGATTTAGGGTTTCTGGTAAAAGAATTCCCTAAGCAGCACAGCATTCAAGATGGGGCCATATTGCTTCTAATAGCCTATGCGCATGTGTGTCAGCAAAAAAATATGATGTAAAACTGGCAGTTACATTTAAAAGGAAAGCAGAGTGTAAAGGTTTTGAAAATTTGCAGCCTGGCCACGTGGTAGAAAAGAACAACCCATTTTCTGGGGAGGAATTCAAGCTAGCTGTAGAAATCTGCTTAAGTAATAAGGAGCTGAATGGTAATAGCCAAGACAATGAGGAAGCCTCAAAGGCATTTCAGAGACCTCTGCAGTAGCCCCACCTCCCATCGCAGGCCAAGAAGCCTAGGAGGGGAGAATGTTTTCATGGGCCACACCCAGGGCCCCACAGCCCTGTACAGTGTCTGGACACTGCTCCTGATGTCCTGGCTGCTCCAGCGCCTGCCTTGGCCCAAAGTTTCCCCAATACAGCTTCAGCGACAGGTTCAGATGGTGCAAACTATGATACTTGGTGGCTTCTACTTGGTGATAATCCTGTGGGTGCACAGAGCAAGGGGTGAGGCTTGGGAGCCTTAGCTTAGATTTCAGAGGATGTGTGGAAAAACATGGATGTCCAGGCAGAATCCTAATTCAGGGGTCTAGTCCTCATGGAGAACCTTTACTATGGCAGTGTAGAGAGGAAATGTAATGTTGGAGCTGCCAGAGAGTCCACACTGGAGCATTGCCTAGTGGAGCTGTGAGAGGAGGACCAACATCCTCCAGACCCTAGAATGCTAGATCCATTGACAGCTTGTAATTGAGTCTGGAAAAGGCATGGGTACTCAATGCCAGCCCATTGGGGACTGGACCCTGCAAAGCCATAGGGTTAGAGCTGCCTGAGGCTTTGGGAGACCAGCCCTTGCACCAGTGTGCTCTGGATGTTGGATATGAAATCGAAGGAGGTCATTTTGGATATTTAAGATTAAAGACTTCCCTGCTGGGTTTCAGACTTTCACAGGACCTGCAGTCCCTTTCTATTGGCTGATTTCTCACAAGTATTTACCCAATGCTTATGGCTCCATTGTACCTTAGAAGTAACTTGATTTTATTTTATAGGCTGATAGGTAGAAAGCAAGAGCCTTGTCTCAGATGGGACTTTGGTTTGGGGACTTTTAAGTTAATCCTTCAATGAGTTAAGACTTCGGAGGACTGTTGGGATTTTATTTTGCAAAGTGTGAAGGACATGAGGTTTGGGAAGGGCCAGGGCAGAATTATAAAGTTTGGATCTCTGTCCCCACCCAAATCTTAGGTTGAATTATATTCCCCAGTGTTAGAGGTGGGGCCTCTCAGAAGGTGACTGAATGATGGGAGTGGAATTCTGGTGGAATTTAATAGTGGAAACAAACTACTACTTAAAATGGAATATTTTAGTAAATCTGAGAGAAAGAAGAAAAGACAGAAAATATTTAAAATATTGAAAATGGAATAAAAGCAAGTCAAAAATCAATCACAAAACAATTGTATGATAGAATTAAAGATGGCGCATAAAATCATGTTTCAAAATGATCCACTAGGCTACTCAGTATTTTCATAAAATATTCATGATGCATTATTTGAAATCATTTATAAGAGAATGGCACAAATTTTTTACCCCATCCTAAAATGTAAGTACAAATACAGATAAATGTGTGGAAAGATCTACATCTAAATTTTAATAGAGATTTAGAAATTATATACTACATATAGTTATCACTTTGGAAAAATCTATGTACATACAGTATTTCCAACTGACAGAATTTTTTATTGTTCAGAATGCCACACACCATACAAAAAAATTGTTTTCATAATGGAAAAGATATTTCAACTTTTTTTTTATGTGAAGACATTAATGGTCCTATACATATTCATACATTCTGAATCTAAAACAAATTAATAAAAGTCCTGCCTGTAACCATATAGCAATTGTTTTTTATAGTTTTTCCCTTTTGGTGTATCTGCAGTAGCCTCTATTTCAGCTGGAATCAAGACTGTATTAATCATTTACTATTTATAAAATTATTTTTACACATTTCCACAATATAAGCAGCTTATTTATACCCTCCTACCCAAACATGGGTACAAGTTTCATGCTGCGGATGGCCTCACACAGTCTGGTGCTTGTCTTTTTCTTGCATCTGTCCTCCCTCCCTCTCTCTCTCTCTCTCTCTCTCTCTCTCTCTCTCTCTCCCCCTCTCTCCCCCTCCCTCCCGTGTGTATTTCCCCATGTCTGTCTCAATAAGGTTAAGAGTTAAGAAGTGTCACCACAATCAAATGGGGAGAGAAACCTAGGAGATATCTCAATAATAATTGAAGAGTATCAATTCTATCTTAGTTTTCCATTCTTCAAATATATTCCTAAGAAATCGGGAAAAAAGTTAATTAAAAAGAGTGAAATACTCTTGGGTGGACTATGCTTAACCCTTCATTAATGAATGACTTAAAGTTTTGAAAGGTATTTTAAAAGTCAATCAGAAGATGTTTTTATCTTTGAGAGAAAATGGACACTGGATCAACCATGAAGGTACCTAAGAGGCTGGAGAGTTTTTGGAAGCTGTAAAGGAGGAGGCTTGCAAATGATGACTAGTTGATAAGTGGAGACATTTGGAGAATCTGGGAATCTGGAGTAAAACCACTCAGGTGACGAACAATGGCTGTGGCCTCAATGCAATCTCTTATTTGATTCAAGTCTCATTTAGCAAAAATGGATAAATTATTAAAGAAGCTGAGTGGATATTTTTTCTCAGGAGTCCACTGTTCCTAAGTATAGTCTCCTAGAAGGCACAAAAAGTTCCTTGAAGTAGCCCCGCACTGAAGAGTGGGTGCACAGGACCCAAAACAGGCATCACTGTGCGTGCAGCTACAGCCCCATCCCCAGGGACACCACGTGCGCAGTACATGCTGTACATTACTCTTCGCAAGAAGGTGGCATTCATAGTTTAGTGCACATGAATGACACCTCCCTGCGAAAGGCACTGCACGCTGAATGGCTGAATGTGGCATCCCAGAACAAGTGCTCCCTATTCATGCAGTTTTTATTGATGTCCTTATAGGAGTATTGTGCCTTGCATGACCACCAAGATTTATGCCAAGGAACTCTGCAACTCCTAGCCCCCAGCGCTCCCGTTTTCATCCTGCCTGGAGTGAGATTTTAACATGTAGATTTTTGTTTTGGTTTGTTGTAATCTCACCTAATCAGGAGGCTGAGGCAGGAGAATCCCTTGAACCTGGGAGGCAGAAGTTTGGTCAGCAGAGACCCTGCCACTGTACTCCAGCCTGAATTACAAAGTGAGACTTGTCTCAAAAAAAAGAAAATCAAACAGAATAAACTTAAACTTACTGGTTAAGTAGAAAGAACCAACCACTCAGCAAATCTTTCTGTCATCCTACAACTCCAGCTGTGCTGCAGAAACCTAAATTCCAATGGAAAAACCACAGAGTACAATAACCTAGATGCAAATAAGTAGATAAGAGTCAGAGGATACCAGGTTGGAGAGAGCAGAAATTTCATTTCTTCTTCAGGCTATTCATGGGGAAGAACTCATAGAAATTAATACAAGAGACCCATAAGACAGATGATGGGCTGGAAGACAAGAAATGCTATTTTATTTCTCTTAGCTCCATGCTTCTTTGTAGTACATTTATTTGAGTGTGCGTTTGTGCTGTGTGTGTGTGTGAACAATAATAGCTCTAAGGTTTTTTAACTCTAAGATTTAGGATTTGTGTTAGTATATTTTCTATCCATTGACTTTTACCAACTTTGACTAGGTCTTCATATTTAAAATTGTTTTAGAACGTATGTAGTTATTTCTTATTTTTATGTAATTTGACAATTTCTGTGTTAATTGAAGCATTTAGATCATTATATTCGTATAGTTATTTATATACATACATTTAAATCTACTGGCTTTCTAGTTTTTTCTATGTTTCATCTTTTTCTTATTCCTAATTTTGTTTTTCTGCCTGATGATGGATTTAGTATTTATCATTTAGTTACATTTTCTCTACTCTTGGCTTATCAGTTAGGTCACTTTAAAAAAAATAGTAGTTGCTCTAGGGTTTACAAAGTTCCTATTTAATTCATCACAGTCTGTCTTCAAAAATATTATACTAGTTGATGTACAGTTAATTTCACTATTAATTATTGAGTGATTAATAGAAGAGTAATAAAATGCCTCTGTGTGAACCCCCAAAATCTGAGACAGGCCTCAATTTAGAAAGTTAATTTTACCAAGGTTGGGGATATACACCCATGACACAGCCTCAGGAGGTCCTGGTGACATGTGCCCAAGGTTGTCAGAGCACAGCTTGGATTTGTTCTTTTTTGTTTTTGTTTTTGGTGGAGTCTTGTTCTGTCACACAGGCTGGAGTGCAGCAGCATGATCTGAGCTCACTGCAACATCTGCCTTCAATGTTCAAGCGATTCTCCCACCTCTATTTCCCAAGTAGCTGGGATTACAGGCACCCAGCACCACGCCAGACTAATTTTTCTGATTTTAGTAGAGATGGAGTTTCGCCAAGTTGGCCAGGCTGGTCTCAAAATCCTGTCTTCAGGTGATTCGCCTGCATTGGCCTCCCAGGGTGCTGGGATGACAGGCATGAGCCACCACTTCTGGCCAGCACAGCTTGGTTTAATACATTTTAGGCAGACATGAGACATCGATCAACATATGTGAGATAAATATTTGCTCAGTCTGGTCTGGAAAGGAGAGAAAACTCAGAGCAAAGTGGAACACCTCAGAGTGGTGGGGAGGCTTTCAGGTCACAGGTAGGTGACAGACAAAAGGTCACATCCTTTTGAGTTACTGATTAACCTTTGCAAAGGAGGCAGTCAGATAAGCATTTATCTCAGTGAGCAGAGGGAGGACTATGAATAGAATGGGAGTCAGGTTTGTCCTAAGCACTTCCCAGCTTGACTTTTCCCTTTAACTTAGTGATTTTGGGGTCTGAGATATTTCCCTTTTACATCTGAATCTTCATCTTGATTATTTTCTGGGTTTTTATTTGTGTAGACTCACGTTTCTACCTGGTATGTTCTCTGCCTGAGGAAATGTGTTAACGTGTCTTGTAATGCATTTCTACTGGGGTGAATAATCGAAATGTTCTTTATCTGAAAAAATTGTGTCCTTTTTGTGTTTATTATAGAGATAACTATGAGCCCATCAAAAAAAAAATTTGTCTCAAAATAGTTTGTTTGCTTTTTTCTAACATAGCCATTTCTCATAGTTCCTATCTCTGTGCTGAAACTCCTCATTTGCTCAACGTGAAGTCTTCCTTTTTCAATAGCGATGTTGTTTGGGTCTGTGTTCCCACCCACACCTCATGTTGAGTAGCAATCCCCAATATTGGAGGTGGGGCCTGGTGGGAGTTGATTGGATCATGGGGGTGGAATTCCCATGAATGTTCTAGCACCATCTCTTTCGTGCTGTTCATATGATAGTGAGTTCTCAGGAAACGTGGTTGTTAAAAAGTGTGTAGTACCTCCCACATTTCTCTTCCTCCTTTTCTGGCCACGTGAAGAGCTAGGTCTTCCTTGCCTCTTAGATATTTGAAAGATTCCTGAGGCCCTCTCAGCCAGGCTTCCTGTACAGCCGACAGAACCATGAGTCAATTACGGATACCAAAAATGTGGAAGCAGCTTTTGCATTGGGTAGCAGGCAGAGGTTGAAAGACTTTGGAGGACTCAGAGGAAGACAGAAAGATGAAGGAAAAGGTGAAATTTCCTAAAGGCTTGTTTAACGGGTTGTGACTAGATGGCTGATAGTGATATGGATGCTGAACACCAGACTGAGGAGGTCTCAAATGGAAATGAGGAACTTATTGGGAAGTGGAGTAAATGTCACCTTTGTTATGGATTAGGAAAAAACCGGGGCATTGTGCTCCTGCCCTCAGGATATGTGGAACTTTTCAACCTAGCAGTGTTGTTGTAGGGTTTCCGGTAGAAGAAATTCCTAAGCAGCATAGCGTTCAACATGGGGCCTGGTTGCTTCTAATAGCCTATGCGCACGTGTCGACAAAAAAAAAATGATGTAAAACTGGCACTTATATTTAAAAGAAAAGCAGAGTGTAAAGGTTTTGAAAATTTGCAGCCTGGCCACATGGTAGAAAAGAACAACCCATTTTCTGGGGAGGAATTCAAGCTAGCTGCCAAAGTCTGTTTAAGTAACAAGGAGCTGAATGGTAATAGCCAAGACAGTGGGGAGGCCTCAAAGGCATTTCAGAGACCTCTGCAGTAGCCCCTCCTCCCATCACAAGCCAAGAAGTGTTGGAGGGGATAGTGTTTTCATGTGCTACACCCAGGGACCAGCTGCCTTGTACTGTGTCTGAACACTGCTCTCGATATCCTGGCTGTTCCAGCACCAGCCTCGGCCAAAAATGTCTTCCATACAGCTTTAGCCGCTGGTTCAGTTGGTGCAAACTGTGATCTTTGGTGGCTTCCAATTCGTGTTAAGCCTGTGGGTGCACAGAGAAAGAGTTGAGGCTTCGGAGCTTCACCTAGATTTCTGAGGATGTGTGAAGCATGGATATCCAGGTGGAAGCCTGCTGTAAGGATGAAGTCCTCTTGGAGAACCTTTACTAGGGCAGTGCAGAGTGGAAATGTGGGGTTGGAGCTCCCACACAGAGTCTACACTGGAGCACTGCCTAGTGTAGGTGTGAGAAGTGGGCAACTCTCCTTTAGACCCTAGAATGGTAGATCTACTGACAGCTTGTAATTTCAGCCTGGAAAAGGCATAGGTATTCAGTGCCAGCCTACTGTGGACTGGACCCTACAAAGCCACAGGGTTAGAGCTCCCCAAGGCTTTGGGAGCCCAACCGTTGCCCCAGTGTGCCCTGGACATGGTACATGGAATCGAAGGAGAACATTTTGGCAATTTAAGATTTAAAGAGTTCCCTGCTGGGTTTCAGATGTGTACAGGACCTGTAGCCTCTTCCTATTGGCTGATTTCTCATGAGTATTTACCCAATGCTTCTACCTCCATTGTATCTTAGAAGTAATTAACTTGTTTTTTATTTTATAGGCTGATAGGCAGAAGGGATTAGAATTGAATTGGATGAGACTTAGGATTGTGGACTTTTGAGTTAATGCTTTAGTGAGGTAAAACTTTGGGGGACTGATGGGATTCTATTTTGCAAAGCGAGAAGGACATGAGATTTGAGAGGGGCCAGGGCAGAATTGTAAGGATGGGATCTGTGTCCCCACCCAAATCTCAGGTTGCCTTGTAATCCCCAGTGTTGGTGGTGGGGGCCTGGTGGGAGGTGATTGGGTCATCAGGGTAGAATTCTGGTGGCATTAAATAGTGGAAATAAACCATTATTTAAAATGGAATATTTTAGTAAATCTGAGAGAAACTAGAAAAAGCTTAGAAAATGTTTAAAATACTGAAAATGCTATAAAAGCAAGTCAAAAATCAATCAAAACAATTGTATGATAGAATGAAAGATGGCACATCAAATCATGTTTGAAAATCATTTACTAGGCTACCCAATGTTTTTATAAAATATTCATGATGCATTATTTGAAATCGTTTATAGGAGAATGGCACAAAATTGTTGACCCCAACCTAAAATCTAACTATAAACATAGATAAGTGTGTGGAAAGTTCTGTATCTAAATTTTATCAAATATTGTATCCACATTATGATGTTAGTGTTTTGACAACATTTCACTGCTATAGTTCGTATGTTTCATACATTTTATGTGTTTTTCAAGTTGTTCTGGAATACATAGGAATTACGCTCATGGTAAGAAAAAAAAAGGTATCAACAAAAATGTATTTTTCTTTGACAGAATTCTGATATAAGAATAACTAGGAAAAGTGTAAAATTTGTTTTTGGCAGTTATTTTTCTTCTTTTGAGCTCTGTACAGTTAGAGCTCTTGCCTTTCCATGTTCCTGACTCCTAACCCTTATACATGTTAACTTATTATAAATTATTGAGGATAAACTAATACATTCACATTAATAATCGGACAAAATTATACAATAGGAAGGAAGGTCTAGAATGAGTTTGTAACAATTAAACAAGTTTTTTTCATGTGCTAGGACTACAGTACGGTAACTAGTAACATTTTTAGTATACACAGAAGTGCTAAATTATATGTAGCTATTTATGCTGGAAATATTTATCACATGAAATTACATATATTTTAAGTATTCTGTAGTTTGGCTTTTTATTGTCTCAGTGGTCTCATTTGGAGACAGATTTTAATTTTTTCAAAGTCTATTTTATCAACTTAGTCAATTTTATTTTTATACTTTGATATATATAATAATGGTCAAACATATTTTCTGTTTTATGAAATTTGATAGTTTGACATTTTGGTCTAAGATTGTGTTAATTTCTGTATGTGGTTTGAAAGATGGACCAAGGTTCATATATATATATGAATATATATATATATATATAACATCTGCCTGCATCTTATTGTGTAAATACTATTATTACTTGATTAGATTGACTTTACAGCTCAGTCAAAATCAATTGGTGACATGTATGGATATTCCTGGTCCTTCTATTCCACTTGTCCATCCTTTTTCAGTACCACATTATATTGGCTAATCTAGTTTGACGGTAATTCTAGAAATTACAACTGTAAATTCTCCAACTTTGTGATTCTCTTTCAGGTTGTTTTGGATATTCTAGTTTATTTGCCTTTATATCAATTTTAGAATCATCATGCTAACATCTGCAGAATTTTTGGGGGGATATTATTGGAGTTGCATTAACTCTATAGATCAATAGAACTCTGTAAATCTATAGATTTGAATCCTTCAATCCATAAATACGATACTCCACTTAACTAGTAATGATTTTCTTAGTGTATTTACAATCTTATCGTACAGATGTTTTTGGTTTCCTACTGATACTGTAACAAATTGCCATAAATTTGGTTGTTTACAACACAACTTTATTATACTAGAGTCTAAAGATCAGAAATCTAAAATAGGTCTATCTTGGCTAAAATTAAGGCATTGGCAGGGCGTTGTTCCTTCTCTCGGCTCTATAGGAGAATTTAGTTGATTGCATTTTTCAGATTCTAGTTGCTTTCTCCATTCTTCA